GCGTAATAGAATTCGTAATGAAGATATTCGCTGTAGAACCAGAGTAACCGACAAAGCCTGACGGATCAGTCTGCCATATAGCACGAAGATCCGGCAATCGATGGGAAAAAAGTTTTCGGGTGACAGCTTGGTACCGAAGTATAGGGTGGCTCACCACTTGGAGTGACGACCTGGTAAAACATGCAGGAAGTTGATGGACGCAGGTGGCTCAGGACCGTGGCCTATGTTCAGTAGTAATCTTTTGGAGGAGATACCTTGAGATATCTATGATATACTCCCAAATCAAATTAATACATAATATAGACTATGCATTTTATTGCAAATATTTTTACATGCTTTAAAGGTATAAATAATGCTAAATATATTATATATTTTAATACAACATACATAACATAACATTTTGGCGGATAATACATTTCGTTACTAACAATATCACAACACCCTACCTAAATAAAAAACCATTTCAATATATAACATAAGGAATTTAAATGTTTTTTTAATAGACCAATAAATTTAATAATAACCTATCACAATTAAATAAATCCAAAACAATCTCATTAAAGGTAAGTGAAATGCAAAAAATGCTTTTACAGTTGTTTTTGGAATGAATTACATATTTTTTTAAATTTAATTTAAACAAATATTGGTCTGTTACAACATTCCATTTCATTACTATTTCGTCATCCTACTATTAAATGTAATTAGCTATATTTTATAATGTTTTCCAATATCCACCTTGATTTTGCTGCGACCTTTCTATAAGTAGGGGCTATTTTATGCTTTAGTTTCATGAATCATTAACGAATTGAAATGGTTGGATGGAACCTTGACCTTTGCTTCTCCCTTGTGAGAAATGAGACATAATAAGACAATATTTTTTACGTTCATGAGTTCATGACTCGACCAACAAAGAAAATAGACAGAGGTGCGTATATATCGAATGATGCCAAAACTATGCTTGCGCAGCATTTCACTTTCTATAACAGGCTGTAAAAAATATGCTCTCTCCATGTTGATTTCATTTTAGACGCATATCTGTATACATCAACAAGTTGAACATAATTTTGACTTAGTTTTTCTACATTAGGTACTTGATATGTCCGAATCGCTCAGGCTTTCTTTTTTTATTGGTCTGTGACTATTATTACAATTTTAAATTTCCTTGCGAAATAATTTTAATACTAATAAAAATTATTTCTAATAGTATAATACTATTTAACAGCAAACATATATGAATTTATATATTTTCAACATTTTTAAGAGCTTACAATTTAGAAAATTGGTAACAAACAATTTTATAAATTAAACAAAAAAACAAAGACAATAGGTACAATTGAAAAAAAAAATCTAAATGTCCCACAAATTCAAATGCTACACTATACTTTACACTGCTATAACCTTTGGTTATAAATAAACATGTCTATAAAAAAAAATCTAAATGTTCCCAAACCAAATTAACTCACCACTTATATAACATAAAGCCAACTAGTACAAAGCCTAAATATTGGTAAAAATATTACATTTACATTTTATTACCTACATAATGCAATTTTCCCATTTTTATAGAATGTAGAAAATTTGAAAATTATACAAATAATGTAGACTACTATTATCAGTGAACGCAAATATAACATGAAAGCATTCCTAGCTTCAAAAAATTAACAAATGCTCACCAATAATTGTGCTGCGATTTAATTTTAGTTTGAATACCGTCTCTATCACAAGACTAATTAATCATAATTTACATTGCATCTTATAACAACCCTCGACTAGCGATGAGTATATTCCATTACTATTACATTCATTACTCATGGATTATGTGCTTCTGGTAGATTACCTTCTATACATTCGTCCCTTACGGCCATAAAATTCCACTGCGGACCATAGGCCTCCCCCATAGATTGCCACATAGGGGGAATATTTGCCTAAGTTGTAATTGTATGTAATGTTACTGTCGATTTAATAAAAATCACCTCAGTGGGTCATGTGCTCCTGGTAGATTATCTTCTATACATCCATCCATTACAGCCTATTAAAGTCCACTGCGGAACATAGGCCTCCCCATAGATTTCCTCTTAAGGAAGATTTTACGATAGCTGATGTGATTGGCGGACGTGTTAGCAACCGCAGTTATTTTTTTATTACGTCACCTACGGGGAAAATATGGGGTATTGGATATTCTTACACTGCCCATAAGCAAAACTGAGGCATATAATTGTATGTTTACTATGGTAAATGTATGCGATTAATATTTACTTATGACAAGCGAAACCAAATACTTTTTTTTAATAGAATAAGTGTGACAAACGAGCACACAGTCCACCTGATGGTAAGTGGATGCTGTGGCCCATAGACATATACAGTAAACCTCGATTCAGAATCAAAATGCAGATGCATTGTCACCCCTCAGGACTGAGATGGAATGCCACATTTCCAGTCCTCGTTCTAAAAAGGGTCTCCGGTACTCTACGCTCACCATACGAAACACAGCAGCATTAAGCTGCTATTTTACGCTGGTAATAGGTGAGAGAGTGGTCCTACCCAGGATAAGTCCACCTATTCATAGTACAACCATAGCTGTATCACGGCTCTACCGTGTATAAACTTCCATATTTTATTTGCGTTCAATGACTATTTTAAATTATCTATTCCAGATTTATTATTCTCTTTGAAATGAATAATTTAGACTCTTATTTGAACTAGTGACATAGTCATCTAATTACACTAATCTATTTATATAATTTTTGTAATGTGATGTGTTTTTTATTCCCTAAAATAGAATTTACTAATTCAATGTTTTGTTTAGTTTACTACAATTTTTACACATATTATCGTTTACATTAATATACAAAGTTGCTATAGCATACTTTAAACTATTTCTTATGCATTTTCATTAAAATTACAGTTTACATTCCTAAGCCCATTAAGCGGTCTATTTAAACAGACCTCTTCTACAGTAGTGAAAATTTGCACAAATTACTACACTTGCACTTGATAAGACTAGTTTTTTTTACATACATTGTAGTTTTGAGTGCTAACTACACACACATATATGAATAGGGTTGCCAACCATTTTTTCATTAAATATAGTATTTTTGAGGCTTATACATATCTTCAAAATATAGTTCAAAGTATACATATCTTAAAAAACATTAGTATGTCTCAACTTAATATTGTATTTTAAAGAAATATTTTAGCTGTTAAAAGCCTAATGCTGTTGGCAACCTTTATAAAATCTAGTAATTTCGCTTTCTTAGATATTTGGATAATAGGGTTGCCAACCCAATCTATAAAATCCAACAAAGATTACAATTCTAATTTTGTTATACCTTTATTAATTATGTGTGTGAAGTGTTCTCAATAAATGTTTCTTCTTTTATTTCAAAGTGAACTACTGACCAACAAAATCTACTAGTAACTCACACCACTGTTAAAATATATACAATGATCTTTATACAATATGATCAATAGTGTACGTGTTAGAGATCATGTAATGTGTGAACCTCGACCAATTAAGGTTTCAATTATTTCAAGGTCATAATTTTTTTGTTTTTGAGACAATAGCCCATTGCTATGCCAGGATCTGATAGAGAGCTCTGTAGTGTAGTTATTAAAAATAATATATATATATATATATATATATATATATATATATATATATATATATATATATATATATGGATCAAACTGAATCATGCCAGGCTAGCTGGTGAATCAACATAAGTTCCAATTATCGTGTAGTGACGGTGTCAAAATATCCAATCCCACCCAGTAAGATAGGTCCATCTTTCCTATAACTAAAAAACTGCATTTGCCAATCCCCCTACCTAGAGTGGCAAATATATCTGTGTAAATCCATCTATCGGGGAGGTCTATGATCAGCAGTGAATTTTTGATAGAACATATTAGTAATTAGTAAGGTAATTTTATTGTGTTCTCTGCTATCCATATAATTTATAAGTATTATACCATTTTCCGCAAATGTAAACAATGTTTATTGACATAAAACAAAACTACTGTGAAGTGTAATGTCCTCCAGACCGAATTTCGGTCACGGCAGCCAGCCTCAAAGAGACTAGCCATCGGCGCAGGACAGGATTAGTGCCAAAATATATGCGCAAGCACAGGTGCGCTCTCTATACCCTCATTCTCATAATAAAATTGGAAGGTAAACCGACATGACCAGAAAGAGATCAGGTGCAGGACCAACGGCTTTACGTGCTTTCCGAGGCACGGTGGTGAGACACCGCGAACTTCTTGACTCTGAGCCGCTACTGAGAATTTGTTAACAGAAAAACTCAATAATTGATTTTTTTGGCCCAACCCCAGGATTCGAACCCAGGACCTCATGATCAGCGGTCGCTCTACTACAACCACTAGACCAACGAAGCAGTAATTGAAGTATATTTAAGCATTAACATATTTTTTAAAACATTTTAAAGGATTAGCTTATCATAGTTTAAACTTGTAGAAAATGGGATGAAAACAAACTATAGTAGTGCAGCTGATGGTAAGTAGATGCTTTGGCCTTTAGACATCTAACTCTATCCTCATTGGGAATCAAAATGTAGATGTGTTGCCACTCTTAGAACTAAGATAGTATATGTAATTACCAGTATAAAGAGTTCCAATAAAAAACACGGCAGCATAATGCTGGTATTAAGTGGAAGTGTAGTTTCCCGGTTGATTCAACACATCCCTACTGTAAACATAACACACCTGCAGCGTCTCAGCCATGTTAGAGTAGACCTAATTAACACTAATTTTTTCATAACATTTTGTAGTTGCATATATAAAAAATTCATTATATCCAAAAGTGTACCATGTAATTATCACTTGATTAAATGCATTTACTTCATGTTGTGTAGCATTTCAACTTGACGCATCAGCTGACAGTATTTAACATACACCAATGTATTTATTACAAGGATAATGATTACCAAACTATCTAATAAAGAGTTTATATCTATTGTGGTATCACCGACCACCAGATTTAAAGGCTAAATTCTCTCACAGTAATTCTCGTGTTCATTTGTGTTCTTGTAGACTAAGTAACCCAGTAATACGGCAATAGCTGTCAGTATTAAGGTCATGAATTGGTATATCTTGAGCTTGTTTACTTGCTTATGCAAAATCTCATAATTCATCTGCAAGTTGTTCAACGCATTCGTAACAGAATCAGACTTCTCCGGACTCTTATCAGCTAAGTTGCCATTCTTCGGTAAGCTTTTCTCAGGGAAGTGGCACTTCAATCTGTACTCGTCTACTTTGCTGCCAGAAGAATTCTGCCAGATATCAGAGAGCTCCTTTTGCGATATATTATCCTTAGGTATTTGCACGGACATAACTAGGAATCTGTCTTTGGTAATTGTGCGTAATTGGAAACCTGGTTGAACGACAATCAAAATTGTTTGGGACACTCCACTGGGTAAGACTCCACTGCTGGGACGAACCCGAAACTTTTCTGGTGACGTTGTACGAATTTTAAACGATACTACACTTTCATCCATATTTGTTATTGTAAACTGGCCAGATATATCATCATCTTCTGCTTTAAAAACTATAGTATCATTGGGTACAATGCGAAGCATCTCTCCAGGTGAGTGCTGATTATCTCCTTGTTCCGCAAAAGTAACCTTTTTGTGCGCAGTCTCTAAATTGCTTCTATTTTCAGGTACAAACTCAAATACATAGTTATCTTTACCGCCCCAGCATGTCAAGGCTTGTTCTGGCGCAACAAACTCCTTTAATGTGTCTTTAGTAACAAATTTCATTTTCTCTACACCTTTCGCTGGCAGCAAAGACTTTATGACCTTGAAAGCAGCGGACATCACCCATGGCATTTGATAAATAATTATGTAGTTTAGAAAATAAGGATAGTAACTTTTAAATAGTGATATTAGGTAGTTGATTAGCTCCATGTCCATGTTACTGAGTCCGCAACCATCTAGATCGAAGAATAGAGTGATTTTATTACCATTTTCTTCTCTTTCTATACGATCGAACCAGTAAATAATTGCTTTTTTAATTTCCTCAAAGTCCTTCTGGCCTTTGATGTGCTTTTTCGATTTAATTATTAATAGTAAACAGCCATCAACGTCTCGGCCACGGGGGAAGAATATCCCTTCTTTAACATAATCCAACCGTATATTCGATTCATTAATATCATTTGCGTTAACCGACTTCCTCCATGTGAATATATCCCATAACATATCCGCTGCCTGTTTAGCATCGTTTTCAACATGTATTAACACACGTCTGATGTATTTATCGTCCTTTAATCTGTCTAAGTCCAAAGGGTGAAATCCGTGGTTAGGTGATTCCTTCAATTTTGCCTCGAACAAAGACCTTACCTCAGAAGGCGTAGCCATATTAAAACCTTTTTGAAACACTTGTCACTGATTAATGATTTAAGAAAACGATACAAATTAATTATTTGGCAAAAGGAATATTAAATAAAACAATTACATAGGTACTTTATAAAAAGAGAAGACGTTCGTAAATGTCAACTCCTGGTGCTGTCAAGTGACAAGGAAAGAACTAGAGATGAAGCGTATATACCAAATCCATAGAGATATAATACCTATCTAAGTCAGTGACCAAATCTATAAGAAATACATTTTGACAGCTGTCAGACTTATTGTACGAAGCATGCCAACCATAGATAAATAAATATGTAGCAAGCTAATGCCAATCAAAAAATGGGAACGTACAATATTCGATTCTTAAAAAAATCGATATCGATTATTTAGAGTTGGTAAATATTAACCGTAAATGATTACCAACTCTAAATAATCGATATCGATATGGTTTGAATAATACCAGAATAAATTAAAAACGGATAATTAAATCACAAGATTTATCAGTTTCTTCGTATTTGTTGTTACTGCTTATTTCTAGAGGCACAGCTATAAAAATTTAAGAATGAAACTAGATGAAAAATAAATTTATTCAATCACTTTCAGTACAACTAGTAAAGCTGTCGTTGTTTAGATTAATTATTATTTAATTTTCAATAATGCAGTAAAAAATAATGTCTCTTTCAAAGTTATCCATAATATTTTTTTGTTTTTTCTACCACTTTTTCCCAATCATCCTTTGTGACATGGGCACATGCTTCAACAAATATAGAAGAAACAGTTCAAACAGTTAAAGCCGAGTCTCAAAATAAGAACACAAAATCATAAAATTACGCACAGTAAGCTCGAAAAGGGTTTTTTCAGCGCGGCCTTGTATGAGTTTTTTTGCCTACACAAATTTACGTTGACAAAGTGAAAAAATAAGCTTGGGTTATTCATGATTCATGTAATTGAAAGTATTTTAAAAATAAAAAATTAACTAAACAAATTAAAAACAAACACATTAAAAATTATTATTTCGATTATTTGAGTATTTTTACCGATTATTTAAATATTTTTGCCGATTATTCGCATAACGATGAACTTTAGTCATCCAAACACTACAGTAAGGTGCATAGCGACATATCATTGAAACGCCGCCGTCAAGTAAAAAAGTTGATACTGGTTATTTTTTTAAATATTTTGCTTTGTTTGAAAGATCCGAATTTAAATTTATGATAAAACACTATACACGTTATAATGAAATATAGATAACTTCATAATTCTTCGGATTTATGTAAATGGTTATTTTAAATCGTGTGAGTACGCTCATGCAACGTTATTGCGGAATGATTTAATGTGAAACGTCAAAAGGTATTTCTTAGATTTGGTTGATTATAGAACAGATCTAAGGACTAAGTATTTAACGAGACTAGGTTGCACCTATTCCAACTTTTAAAATACTCGATCCATCTAGTCTCACTGTGCCTACACGTCGTACTCGTATTTTGTTGCCGTATTTACTAGGCGCTTACGGTCGTGTTTGCCTAAATCATTAGTTTGTCAGTCATTTGAATTTGATCCATATTTTAACATAAAAGTAACGTGACGTGCACTCGTGTTGTGTAAGAATATATTCTGTCCTTGTTTAACTACACTATTCCGCAATCTTTCTATCTTTGTCTATTAATACTCGAGACTCGAGACTAGTCGGGACTCGGGACTTCAACCAAATACTAGTACAAGAGTACAAGGCAGACGAGGATCTGTTTCTGTCTGGACGCTGTATTCATGTTTCCATGACTACGTTACGTAAACAATTTACGTTTCCATGACTATGTAATATATTTTGATGAATATAAATTATATAATTAATATAAGTAAATGTATCATGCTTGCTTTCAGTAATATAAAAATGCGTTCATTTACTCACATTTACTAATCTATATATTTTATAATCGTTCGTATGGAGTAAACTTCACCAACTTTTTATTTTTTGTTTTTCAGAACTATTCTTTTTTTAATGTTTATTTATAAGAATTATACAAACAATATTCTCTCTCTCCTTACTATTAAGATTACTTAAATGAGAAATAATACATGAAAATAATCAACTTCAAATTCTCCCTTCCGTCACTATGAGCTACTTTATACTGCATCACCCTATTATAGAATTATAGCAATACTAAAAAAAAAATCATAGCAGCTTAAAATAAATAGAGAGATACAAAATCAATAGGTGAATGTTCCCATTCTAGAATTATTCAAATAAATTGACAACTTTAAGATAAAAATCATTTAAAACAAATTTTAGAAAATACGAAATTATTCCGTATCCGCACCATCCATCTACACGTACTTTGTTGTACTACATTCGAGTAAAGAAAGTAGGTTAATGGCGGAAGGGAGCTTTTGAAGTAAATTATCTTAATTTATATCTCGTATAATCTCAATCCTCGTAATTTAGTAACGAGATTAATTATAATATTTTTTTAGAATTGTAGTTGTATAATTGTTATAAATAACATTTAAAAAAGAATTATTCTTAGGGGTGTCTACAAAGGAGACATATTTTGATTATTTTATATATTGGTTTTGTACGTGATAGATTAGAGTGTTTATTCAAAAACTAACTAGAAACACTCACGCGTTTATTGTTTAAAGTGGCTCCTAGAGTAAATAGTGTGGCTTGGGATCATTTTATGGACAAAGGGCAACAAATGGCCGAGTGTAATATTTGTAAAATATAACTGAGTTTTAAAAGTTCTGTATCAAACCTTACAAAACACATTAAACGTAAACATCCATTAGTAAGTTTAGTTAGAAGAAACGACGTTCCAGCTCCAGTGATAACATCCCAGACTAACCAGCAACCACCAATATCAAACCAATCTGCTGCAATAGTTCAACAACCTGAAGGTGAACAACGGCCGTCCACTAACTTGGTGCGATTAGTACAACCGGGTGCCTGAACTATAGCTTCATACACATATAAAAAAATTCTGATAAATGTAAATCTGATATGGATAAGCTATTTAGCATTTGTATGCTCTGGCACTCACTAAGTTGAATGCAATGGCCACGAGTGTCCCTTGTGAAAGATTATTTTCCTCATGTGGCTTATTGCTAAATGACAGGAGAACGAGGCTGGGAACTCGAAAGTGCAACAATTAATGTTCTTAAATCAAAATTCTTAAGTCTGATTTTCTCCGTATATATAAAAAACAATAACTGTAGATTAAGTGATTAAAAAAAAAAACAAAACAAAAAAGCAAAATCTGATTACATTGAAATAAAAATTAATTAAAATCTTTTAAAAACGCCAACAACCTACAATGTAGTACGTTGACAGTCCTAAGCCTGTGTAAAGTATGAAGGAAAGATTACAATTCATTATTGCACAGTGCACACGTTTCAGTAGTACGCACGTAAAGCATACTTGAAACTAAAGTTCATCCTATTACAACAATAGTAAACTTTGTGCGTACTTGATACTTTATGGACTGGGTGGAACAGGTATTTGGATCGAGTATTTATACGGAATTGGACTAGGTGCACCTAGTACGAAATTTACCTAGTACGACTCATCTTTAAAAAGAACTAGTGACTGAACCACAGAGATACTAAGTCAGTGGACTGAACCATAGATAAATAAATATGTAGCAAGTTAGACTGAACTACTGAAATATACAGTGCTGCCAGCGTGACCTGACTTAAAATTACATTATTTTATTTTATTTTTATTTGCTTGTAAAACTTACAACTAATTTACAAAAAATCCTAATAATAACAAAACTGAAGACCATTTACAACTTTTCTTTACAGTAATTAACAAAAAAGAGTAACGAGATAAATGTATAGGGGGGATAATAGTAAGTAAACAGAACACTATCAAAAAAATTATTAGAAAGTGAAGTCTAAGTTGGAGAACAATAAAATAAAATAAATCAATATCGACAGTAGCATTAAAAGATACACGATCGAAAAATAAAAGAATTCTTACTTTAAGGCTAGATTTACTAGCAACAAAAGCTGGTAATTCTAGTGGTACGAATGATGATATTGAAGGAAAAAAGGCAGTCTTTAGACATCTAAATAAGAGAGAAAAAGAAGTAATTGAAAGGAAAAAGCAAGAAAGAACGGATAAGAATGATAGAAGAATATCGGATAACTTCCAGGCAAATATTAAAATGTTCTGGAAACTTGTAAGAACTGCCAGGGGACATTCAAAACAGCCTATGATGAATGCTATAAGAGACGAGAATGGTTATATTCTGAATGATGAAGTATTGAGTTTAAAGAGATGGAAGAAATATTTTGAAAGCGTTTTTATGATTGAGGAGACAACGTGTGAACTAAATGAAGTAGAAACTCCGAAAGAAGAGGAAAGAGGTAGCGAGATAAATATAGATGAAATATTGAAAGCATGAATAAATGAAACGCATGAAAGAAGGTAAGGCTGCCGGATATGATAGAGTTTCACTCGAAGTGCTAAGGGCTGGAGAGGAAGTGGTGGCAGGCCTGCTGCATACTTTGTTTAATTTAAGCTGGGAACTGAAGCGGGTACCGGTAGACTGGTGCAAAGCCGTGATAGTCCCAGTATATAAAGGAAAAGGGTCGCAGCAGACTGTAAAAACTACATCAACCTTCTTAGCATTGTGGGAAAACTGTATGCTAAGGTACTGATTGAAAGGGTCATGAAAGAAACTGATGGGGAAATTTGGGATGTGCAAGCGGGATTTAGAAAGGGAATGACATGTACAGATCAAGTCTTTTCCAAGTATATGGCCAAAAAACCAAAAGGTTTTTTGTGCGTTCATGGACTTGGGAATGGCCTATGACAGAGTGGATAGGGATGTGCTATGGCAAACGCTGAACATTTGGGTTGAGCGCTGTCTTGATACAGCCATTGGAGTCTCTTTATAGGGACTATAGTGCTTGTGTTAGGATCAACGGGGTCTACTCGGACTGGTTTGACATCCATAAAGGTGTCAGACAGGGCTGTGTGGCTTCCCCGTGGCTGTTCAACCTAT